TTCTTGCAGGTCGCTGCACACCAACAAAATTGAGCAGCTTTCACCTGGGATCTTCTCCGATCTATCTGAACTAACAGCGTTGTAAGTTTTTTTCTTTGTTTGTTGCTAATGTTCAAGACTAAAACACTAGGCTTGTTCAACCACGTATAGATACAATTCCGTACGAGTAACCTACGCGGCTAGCATACAAGCAACATTATAAGATACCAACATCACCCAAAAGCGTTGTAGGATACTGTAGCTGACGCCTTTTCAAGTAATAGGGTTGGTTCCATCAAAATACTCAAATGTGCTATTTTTAAGGCAAATTGCGCCATCCCGTGTGACACACGAGCGAAATATAATTTTTGCAATAACGCCGTACAAAGTATACACAAACTGGCATCGGAAATTGCCTTTAAGGGACATGAATAAATTCCCTTTTGTCATCATTGTCCATTCTTGAAACTGACTATAAATTAATGTGATGACTATGGACGTGATTCCGGTTATTGTAAACATTGTAGTGAAAGTGCTTTTGATAAATCTAATGACGAAGAGATGTCGGAGATGTCGTCCAAAGAATATCCCGTCCAGGTGAAAAAAAAAAACAATCAGGAAAGGAGGGTGGAAAATTACCGCCACCAGCGACAAAAAATAATGACAAATGCAATTAGTTGACGAAGATGTTTCTGCTGTTTTACTGGCACTTAAGAAAGAGACGAGCCTACAAACAACTACGCAGTCATCCCATTTCTGAGTATAATGCCATGCATAAAAATATTATCCCGTTTATTCCTCTTTATGATTTTTTAAGCCACATCAAGAGATACATCGTGTACATATTTCTATCTAAGGTATTGCCGTTTTTTGTTAGTTTTCGAGATCACAAAAAATTTAAGAAATAACGAAGGAAATGCTTAGATAATACAGCCCAAATGAGCTGCGAGGAGATAGTTAAAATAAATAGAAGTTTTTTTTCTTGAAATAAAAATAGCAACGCTTGAAGCGTAGTAAAGCTGTTGTGGATTTCTCTTCCTATGTGGATGGAAAAATACGGATAATATATATTTAATACTAGATATGACATAGGTGTATATTACATATGAGATATGAAGTACTTGGAAAGCTTTAAGATCACTTAAGTAAAGTTACAAGAAGATAGCCCGTCTCCGGAAACTCTATGCGGGAGCCTGTCAAATTTGCGGGTTCCCAAGCGAGTTAATATTGTTGAGAGTGGCTCAATTCTTGCGAAAAATAGTGCAATTAGCCATGGAACTGCGTGGACTCGGCGCTTGCGATTTCTACTCCGATTATGGCTCCAGTACAAATCAGTAAAAAACAAACAGTTGTGGGTAATACGTATTTTAAAGTCTCTTTTTATCATTGCCAATTTTAAATCTTATAAGTAACAGTATTATTGTGTAAGCCTCATGTGCTGGAAAAGCCATATGGTTAAATTACAGAATTAAACTGTTACTTCCTTGTACAAGGCCTACGTCAGGCATAACCGTCTTTTCGTCCTAATGATACATATAGGAGCCGGTGCATGACCAAGCTCCTAATGCCTAAAATGTTTGTTACAGAAGAGATACGTCCAAGTTTGCACGCAGTAGCAAAAATTGCGAAAAATTGGAGAAATCGCAGTTTTTGCTAAAATTAATTACGTGTTACAGGAGGTACAAGGATGTCCAGCAAAAACTGCGATTTCTCCAAAATCGCGAAAAATTGGAGAAATCGCAGTTTTTGCTAAAATTAATTACGTGTTACAGGAGGTACAAGGATGTCCAGCAAAAACTGCGATTTCTCCAAAATCGCGAAAAATTGGAGAAATCGCAGTTTTTGCTAAAATTAATTACGTGTTACAGGAGGTACAAGGATGTCCAGCAAAAACTGCGATTTCTCCAAAAATCGCGAAAAATTGGAGAAATCGCAGTTTTTGCTAAAATTAATTACGTGTTACAGGAGGTACAAGGATGTCCAGCAAAAACTGCGATTTCTCCAAAATCGCGAAAAATTGGAGAAATCGCAGTTTTTGCTAAAATTAATTACGTGTTACAGGAGGTACAAGGATGTCCAGCAAAAACTGCGATTTCTCCAAAAATCGCGAAAAATTGGAGAAATCGCAGTTTTTGCTAAAATCATAACAAGCTAGAGGGTCAATTTTCCAAAGCGCCGTTGAACGGCGCATTCATGGAATATTTGCGGGGATTATAATTAGGTAAGCTGTTGACTCCTATTGTTTTGGGCTAAGGCTCAAGTTTACAAAGAGACCCTAAAACGTGTTCATCAGCTGTCGACACTTTCAATTTTTATTAAATTTCTTTCATCCCTCTCTTTAATTCTAAGCGTTAACAAGGTGAGATTAATAATTCTTGGTCTACTTCTGTCACGTTGGCAGCATAAGCATAATCTACAATGTCGAAAACCGGAGAAAGGTAGCAAAATTTCGAAAAGCGCTCAGTTTTCTTGCAGAATTGCGTGAATATCATCACAATTATATCTATAAACTAGTTAAGTCAACAACTTCGCTGGTTATGCACATAATTTCTGTAGCAAAGGCGTTAAAAAACATTTTTACATAAGTTACACAGTTCCTAAAAAGTACAAAACAGAAGGATGCACGAGAAGTTTCCCTCCTTGCACAGGGAAGGTTATAAGGCTAACCTACTAAAAAATGGCCGAACTAGGGGGCGAAAGAAATTTCTTTCAAGGCTTAATTTTAATCGAGCAACCCATTTTCGACATTCATTAAGTTTCCGCAATGATTTGAAAGGTGGTTTCCCCTTGTATTGAAGAAAGTAGATTTTTGGTGTGATCATGATGAGGCTTGTACAAGAAAAAAAGGTGCCCGTTTGACCACCTCAATAAGAAAGCGTTCGATTGATCGAATTCCGGAATAATGACACGCAGAAATTTGAAAAAATCTCTTCGACCGAAAATTATGCACCACTTAGATGAAACATTAAATACGCAATTAAAATCCTATTTACAATCAACCTGCTGTTACAAAAAATCTAATTAATTCATCAAAACACTATCTACAATTCCATCCGTTACAAAAGAAACCCCTCGGCCTTCATTAGAGAACAAAAACAATCCTATATATAATAAGTGAAGAAAGAAAAAACTATTCATTTACAAATTCTAAAAAATAGAAGTAACTTAACCTTACATAAAAGAAGAGGAAATAGATATAATAAATAATAAAAGTTCAAATTCTATAAAATTAAGAATTCCATTATGCAGAGATATTAAGATCATACGATCGAATTATACTAATGACGGCTAAACCAGTGTCCATAAAAAGCCCTAAGTATAAAAGCATATAGACACGTATTTCCGATATCCGCACTAGCGACATTTATTTTACAGTCTAATGATTGCTCTATCTTGCTACGAAACGGCATTCGCGAACCTCTGACGCATGCCTGTACCGATCTTAAGGTGACTCGACCCAGTTTTTTTGGGGGGTACCATCCTACTTTGAAGCTCTCTGGTATCCCCACCTTTACTTTTATCGTAAGTCTAACACATAGAATGGATAACATATAGATCAATCTACAATATAACATAAAATTTTTGGCGATCGGAGTAAATGTCACGTGGTTATAATGCCACGTCCCTTTGAGGTCTGAGTCGAAAATCTGCTGTTACCGGTATTTTTTCGTGAAAATCTCTCTGCTACATATAGTGCGCGTTAGTGCCTTGCGCTGAACAGAGTTTCACCAAAATCGCAAAGACCCAATTCGAGAAATTCAGCGGTTTCCAAATTTAGGTCATAATTTATGCGAAAATGGTAAGCAAACTTTACACGGATTATATCTTATAAACTATGAGACTCATCTCTTTATTTTGGGCATCCTTATAACAGATGGGTCCTTGCAAGTCAGCAAAACGCTTTAGGGCCTTGTAAATCCGTGTCCAGTATTTTTAATGATAGTGAAGGACTGTATAGAACGATTGTCTGCCTTGCCTTGTCCATTGGCCTCATTATTCCGCGCTGCTAATTCGTTTCGGGTCACTCAGTCCGAGCGAGTCTTTTTTTCTCAGATACGCCACCGAAATGCCTTGAACGAGATTGCTTGGGAAGACGCCGTACAGGGACTAGGCATGGCAATGTCTACCGTAGCGTCAGAGAAAAACAGGGAATTGTTACGGGGAATTGTTGTTTATCGGCAACGTGTTTTACAAACACTGACATCTCTGCGTGTTGTTTCACTAGTATTTCGAGGGCACGACCTCCTGAAAATCACAAATATTAATCCCCAGCAAGAGGCCAGATTTTCGCTCTGGAAAAAACTTGGTTCTTGGAGAGAGCGGCGGAAATGGAGCTCAGGTCTAGGTCAACAACTAAAAGGCGCTTGGCCTAACGTGCGTACGGGAAATAAAAAGGCAGCCATAAGTGAGTTTAGCACCTTCCTTAAAATTAACAAATCTAGGGAACAATTTCTTGAACGGTTAACTCTTTTTTACCCTATTTACGGCTAACGGTTCAAATTTTTCAATTTTTACGGCTATCGACTAAATTTTTGGCCGTTTTTCGCCTATCGATTAACCCCATTGAGACCCTCAAGGTACGTGAGAATTGAATTATCTCTAAACAGAATCCAACGTTTCAAGAACACCGTACTTAACCCACATATCAAAAGTAAATTCCTTTTACCTGTCCTCACACATTTCCCTCTTAAATGGTTAGGAGAAGTTATTCTATATCAATTGCAAGCGCTGTGTGATCACGTCCTTTATGCTCATAACCCAGGCCTATGTGATTGACAAGGAATGTTACTTGACAAATTTCTAGTTTGCTATACAGGAAAATCGACGGCGAGATATTAACGAATCCGTTATAGCTGACAACGACATGGATCTGCGCTTTACGTTTTCATAGAAATGTTGTTTATGAACTGGAAAGTTTAATACTTTTAGCGCAATTCAAAAGCAAGCGGAAGAAAACACAAGGTGGAAGGTGATCGAGCCTTAAATGTGGTGTTTTTGGACAACGAAGAGAACAAGTCTTCATGCCAGTGCCCGACATTGGATTTCTTAACAGGAGATCGCAAGATTTTAAAATAGGATATTTATCGTGGCTGGCAGGGCTTACGGAGCAGATAAACGCTTCCCTTAATCCTCGTTTACGTGGTAAGTGGCGAATTTAAACGGCACAAAGCCTAATACCACCTAAGCATTTTGCGTGGCTTTTAATTTAGATCTATGCACTTGAATATTCCTCGTTAAAAGTCACCTAAGGTACTACCCAATCATCTTTTCAGTTGTGCGTACAGTCTTTACCCTCAAACTTTGCTATTTTCTTTAGCATTTAGTTTCTCAGTTTAGTAGCAAAGTACTTTGCGCGTCATTTAGCCGATTCTCTCACTGGCACGAGCGCACGTTACTCGAGTTTCGCTCGTCACACAATGTTCCCGGCTACGAGAGAAGAGCGTTGCGTGACGAAACAGAACGACTGTGTGCAAATGAATGAATAAAATCTTTATTTTACTTAGAATGTCAGATGATCTCAGAAAGCTTAAACTTACACTTCTCCTGTCAAAACAATGTGCTGAGGACCCAATTTAATTGTCGCTGGTTTTGTCTACTTTCATTTCTAGGTGGTTGGGTGACTTTACAATTCCCACAAGTTCCTGAAAGGTACTTTGGGCACTTAGCTTGTCAAATGGGATGCAGGGTGCATAGCATGAGGCAGGTACCTCATAAGAAGCCTCCATTTTACTGCCCATCAACAAGGCGAGTTTCCTATAAAGTGTATAGCCTCACTTCATTTACGGATGCAGTGCATGAACAAACGCTCCTTAAACTAAATGATACGGCCTGGTACAGTGACCTACAGGAAGTGGAGAAAAGATCTGACCTTAGCCCTCAGGAGGAACTCCAGGCTACCAAGAACCGTAGTTTTTGGAGCACTGACAGAAATGAGGAGTCGTCAGGGGATCTATTAACCAAACGTCTAACAGCCAAAGCAAGTTTGGGGGTGGGTCCAGGACAAGGAAGGACTACTAGGGAGGTAGAAGTAATCTGGTGGCCAGATCTATACTCCACCACAAGGAATGGAAAACTTTCAATAAGATTCTATATTAAAAAAGTAACTGTTTGAAACTTCTTTTTATGAACAGTTTTTTTGCAGTCTATTCAATATTGATCAAACATTCAGGCAATGGCTTTAAAGTGGACTTCACTTCCCTGAAATATCTGGGAAGTTGTTTCTCTTCCATTTTCTACCTGCAAAGAGCAGTGTTAATTGTCAAACTTCCTCGTTTGACCTGTATAGAGCTTAATTTTGCTTTTTTATTTTTCTCTGCCTCTTTAATTTGAAATGTAAGCTTGACATGGATATCATATTATTCACTAAAGTGTAAGTTGGAAAGAGCATAAAACACTAACCTTGGAAGACAATAGTATCTATGGGAAGGTGTAGTTATTGTTGAAAATATAGAACATCAATTTTTTCTACCAAAACAATGCAACTTCTTCACGCAACTTCAGTAAAACCACAAAAGCAAAGTTTACCTAATATGGACACTAACTAAACAGACATGCTATTTAAATCTACTAAATGATGTTTTTACCTGTTAAAGGAAATTGAAAAGCCTATAGGAATTTTATTGTAGCAAGTTAATGTTAATGTTAGTTAACAAATCAGTAGCTGCTTTTACCAGCAAAAAATCAGTTTGTGCTCAACAAAACAGCTTTGAAATCTGTTCAATCTTTGCTGAAAGTAGGGCATAAAGATTGAAATGATACAGTTTAATGGACACTTACTGGTCTACTCTGTGATTGGTCATTATCTTTTAATACATATGGTGGCTCCTAAAGGAGCCGTTTGTTTTTTGTCACCTGCAGTCAGTGCAGTGTCAAACTCCCTGGTTTGACCTGCAGGATTTTTTTTTTATTCGGTTCTTCATTGGAATTTTAGCTGGACATCAATGCCATGTCTTTTGCCTGAAAACTTAAACAAGAGCAAACAACATTACTATTGAGACAATAACTTATGTGAAGGTGTTGACCTTGGTAAAATTGAAAAAAATTCAGAATTCAATCTCATTCTTCCTATCATAAGCATCTTATTGAAAGCTTTGAAAGATTTAATTTAGTGAAAACTCTGCAGTTTGGGCGTGCCGCCTGTAAACCTTAAGAGGGAGAGGAAACCCTTACAATAATATTGTCAACAGCATTTCCATTCTAATAACAAGTATGTTATTGAAAGATTTGAAAAAATTAATTCAGAACAATAATATTGTCAAAACCAGTTTCATTCACAGTTCAAGAACAGTATCGCATGGAAAATTCACTTAAAATAGGCAGACAATCTACAATGGTGATATTTATATCGATTACTTATTTCCGTTGTGTAAAACGATAAGAAGTCTCTGGCGATGACTCCCCATATCATGAAAACTCCAATGAAAGTACAAGTGAGGAATTCCATTGTCTGCAGGGTTGTCTATGAAATCAGACTGCCAAGGTCACACAAATGCCACAACTAACTCAACCTTCTCCAAATAATGGCTGTTTGGGCATTCCAAACCGCTGAATTGGAAAGGTGATATTCCATTGGGTTTCTGATACAGCCTTCAGCAGATTGTCAGCCAATTCAATGATGTTGGTAGGAGCACTCTGTTTTAAGCCACCATCATAGAATGCTTGGTGCTGTGTTATATTTAGGCACAGGAGACCCCAGTGGTTGCCTTTTACGTGGATTGGACTAAGGGTCCATACAACATCACCAAGATCCATTCTTGAAAGGTAGGGCTTCAACTTTGTTTGTAGAAATTGCACATTTCTGGTTAAAGCCCAGGTTTGTGGAAATGACAGTAGATACAAGGAATTTTTTTGCATGGTTTCCTCACTCTACGTCAAACATGCAGCATCAATCAAAAAGCCACTAATGTACCTCTCAGCAGCTAAGGTTGAAAGGTCTTCAGGATCAACCATCACATCACCAATTCTAAGGATTTCGTCTTGAGGTTCACTGTCAAAAAGCAAAGCCCAAATTTCATTAATCTGCTGAGGGGTTAATGTGGTGCTTGTAGTTTTCATCCAATTTTCCTCTTCTTGGACTCTAAAAATAATGGAGGAAGCTTTTGATGCTTTCATCCAAATGTCCAGAGCTCTGCTGTCAAAGACCCCGAGATCTCCAAACTTGACTGCAGTGTCGAAATCCTCATCATCACTGTCTTCTCCAGCTGCCGCATCCATCAGTCTATAACCCTTAGTGATTGCTGATTCTGAGGGCCTGACTGGAGACTGCAGAGGATTGTTAATACACCCAGGATCAACAACCAGCTCGATGTCATCATCTGGAATTATAATTAATTACAGGCGGAAGATTAAGGGTAGCAAGTTGGCCTCTGGAACAATCATTTGCAGCACAAATTCGTAGGTCAGGAATAAACAAAGATTCTGATGGTTGAGGAACAAAGGCAGTTTTAGTATCCACTGAGACACTGCACGAAGGGCTGCAACTGGAATTTGAAGGGTTAGTGGCGGGGCTTGATGAGAGGCTTGTGGAAGAGCTGCTGACTGGGTCAGTGTTGCTGAAAGCTGGGCTGCTAGCTGGAATGGATTGTGGACTTTGTGGCTGTTCCAGCAAGGAAGTAAAACTGGTCAAAACTGTAGGAAAGAGCTGCTCCCACAGTGTATGATCATATTGATACTTAGATAGGTAAACAGTCAGGTGATATTACCACTTGTTTTAAACCTTTGTCAAATTCATAAGAAAGAGCATCCTTGCCAAACATTTTGTTGAACAAGTTATTCATGGTGAAAATCCAGGACATGTCAACTTTTGACCTTGACACTTCTTTTTTTCTGGACCAACCGCAGCCTCAAAAATGGAATGGGTTACCTGACATGCAAAAAAAAAACATTGGCATTGGCAAAATAAGGGACCCAGACACAGTTAAAACAACAAAAACAAAAAAAAAGATTTTAAGAGACTGTGTTCTATAAGCTCTAAGCTTATACTGCAAGTTTTTATGTGGTTAGTTTTCTACTGCTCAAGAGGAAGAATGACAACATATTTATGTTATCTCACCCCATTCCAGGTAGAAAAAGATAAAGTGCACAGTAATGTTGTCACTGAATATAGTGCATGCTTTCTATGGGAATACACAACTCTCAGTTTTTTACATAACATTGTCTCAACAAGGGAGAATACATTTGACTACACATCAAAGGGACTGACATAAAAAGAAGTTCATTATATAATGTTTCTAGCTGGCAAAAATTTTAGAAGATAATCACCATTATCCATGCTCTCTATAGCCATTCTGAGGCAAAGCCGCAGGAACAGCAACTTTTCAGAAAAGAAATGTTGCAAAATCTGTTGGACCTAATATAATGAAATAAAGTTGATTATTCAAAAGTGCCAACAACTTCAATACCAACAAGAACATGTGATTAAACCAGACTTTGCCTTTTTCCCCAATGGATTCTAGTTTTCACACAATAAGATACATAATATTTAAGAACATGTACAGTGTAACTCCCAAAAACTGATATTTTACTAATAATTTATGGTATGCCTTGAACAATGACTTCAATACTAACTGTAAATTGGCATTTAAAATTTCAATAAAGACCTTTAGCATCAGGTTTTTCCTGCATGGGACACTGCAAACAGGTCTCAAATATGAGAACGTCAAGTGGTCTTCTGGTCGTGTTTGCAGCTTGCAGTTCAAGTTTGAATGGCAGGAAGGGCTTACAGCAGTAGGTGACTCACAGCAATGTTTTTGCCACTAACAATAATATTATTGTTCAGCCTTACAGTTAAAAGCACGAAGCACCTTTCCACACCACCCTCTGATGTGCTAGTTAGAGCTTGTGATAAACAATGAATGTCTGCCTAAAGTTTAAAATCCAGGCAAAGTGAAACTGCAAATGGGTGACTGCAGACTGCAGTTTACAGTTTGCAGTATCCCATGAAAAACTGATGCTAAAGGTATTTCTAATACCTATGGATATTCTCCAACAGGAAATTATTTTGCTAACAATGAAAGATCTTAAGATTAAAGGATATTCAAAACAAGGATTTTCCATTGACTCAACTTTAATAGATTCAAGAGCTTTTAAGAGGGTAGCTAAAATTCAAGAGCTTTTCATATCTTTATGAACTATGCATCATCTGTGGTATCACAAAACAATGTGAAAATGACATGATGAGCTTCCTAACCATTCTATAAAAAGAGTGCTTAGTTTAGTTCTAACAATATTTAAGTAGGTGACAATATTAGTTTCAAGTACTGTAATGTTGAGATGTATGATAATATAAAAAAATAAAGTACTAAAAAAGTAAAATATAAAACTAACTTGATATAGCATGACCATGCCTGTCATGCGAAGTAGCCTTTGAATATAACTGATGCTGTAATGAGTGTGCTGCCTCAAAGCCTTGATTTGAATACACCCCCAAGCTGAGGTGGTTTCTAAACAATGTTCAATGGTGATGTGGCCATAATCACCTCTGCCCAGGTTGCAGCCAAACACTTCCCTTAAAAGGAATCCCCACTTTTTGCACTAAAAGAAAAAAGAGGCATATTTCCATGGGTGTTAAACTGTCAAAATCAACATTTGAAGACTGTGCAGTAACTGACGGCAGGTCTAAAATACAGGTAACTTTTCCACAGGTCAGAGTACAGTTCACCATGATACAGACAAATGAATAGTATTAAAAGTGTTTGCAAGCACTAAACTCTTAACAAAATGCTCTATTAGATAGAGGCCGGAGAATCTGTGTCCTTTGGCAATTTATCTATAGAGCAGTGACATGTACTTCTTACCTGTGGAATGTGACCTGTACTTTGTGAATATCTTAAACATTTTAGGAGAGATAAACATTTTACTTTTAAAATAATAATGTATGTGCCTCATTATATAATCAAACTTTAAGTATTGTTTGAAAGATCAGCCTGAGTGTATTTCCAGGTTCTGATTAAACATGACTGCAAATTTTTTGAATAGCTTCAAAATCTCTGATATAGATCTTGTACTAATATTTAGATCTGTTTTTTT